CGAAAATGTATTTCTTTTTCTACAATTTTCGATCAATTCATAGTAATGTTCAGGATTGTATAAGTAATTTGCTTTTTTTATTTTCATCTTTATCAAACCAAAATCACGGTCATTCGGTAGAAAGGAATGACCCGATACCAAAAATTTGTGGTCTATCGTTTCAATATTATTATTCGATGACTGGGCAATTTTCAGCCATGTCAATGCTACTTTAATGTTGCGATTTTGGCCTGAACAAGCATCACTGTAGGCTATTACGTGTTTTTGAGAAGCTAAGATATCCTCCACGCGGTATTTTCAAGTTATGTTTATATAGTTTCTTTAAATTGTTGACTTAGACCACTTTCATAATTAACACTAAATGAATTCCGTATAACGTTGTAATTACAACTACTATCTAAAGGTTCATTTTTGACGATATCGTAAAAATTACATTGAATAAATTTAGTTTAAAATCATGTCGTGTGAAATAAGTGATAAATTCATTTCTTTTTTAAATTTTGACTTAGACCACTTTCATAATTATGGGCACATATCTCGATGTAATTTTTATTTTTATTATCAAGCGCAATTTATTCGCGGTATCAGCATATTGCGAATGCCAAGACAGTACGAAGCGTCTAGTTACTACGTGGAATAATAGTATACAGTAAGCGACAAATATGTATATATGGACACCCTTTAAAACAGTATAACTATTTTCAAAACTGGATTAAATGATTTGAAGTTTTTTAGAAGATAGAAGGACCAGGTTTACTGGATAATGTCTCGAACTTTTTTTTTAAAAAATTGCAATTGGTTGGAACGAATAAAAAGTAATAAAACTCACGTTTTTCTATCTGAATCTATAACAAAAATGTAAAAAATGCGTTTTGTAGATCTCTGTAATTTATATGAATACTGAACATTTTATCGAAATCGGTCAACGTTTTCCATGACTTTTGATCAACAACTGTGAGAAATCTGGAGATTTGTATTTTATTTTTTAACGCCAGTAACTTGAGTCTGCGTTAACCAGTTTCGATACAATTTTCAGTACGCATATAAGTTATAGAGATTTGTAAAGAGAATTTTAAAAATTGTCGTTATAGACTCAAATAAAGAAGTTGAGGAAACGTGAGTTCCTTATTTGTTTTGTCATTACAAGTAATAGTAAAATTAAAAAAAAGCGTTAGTGTTTTAAAAGATTTCCGAATACTCTTTTTACTCTCTGCATGTAACATTTAAATAAAACTGTGTATTAGATATACCGTCACAACATGGGCAACCAAAATTTAATTAGTGAGACATATTACATATAGGGTGAAGCACTTAAATTGATCACCTCGAAGATCTTCTAAATTATGTGTTGTACAAATAAATTATTTCTATAAAGTTGCATGGTATCGAAAGGAGCATTATGTGATATACATGACTTATTTGTGGATGGAGAAGTTATTCCAGGTGTGCAAGTTAGATACCTCACCCTGTATATCTATATTATATCGTGATTCATTGTCCTTATCTACAGTTGACATAACCGCAATAAACGTTTATTATTGTATTATTACCCCTCTTTTTAAACCTGCTAAATAATAGCAATCTATGAAAAATTTAATATCATTTTGGAATCAGGATATATATGTTCTATTAAATAAACATTTTATTATAGAAATAGATTTTTAAGTTAATTTTAATTGCTTAGTATTTAATATACGTTTTGTAACAATAATATTGTTTAATAAGCAACAACCTTGCATTTACTCGTAGATAGATCATAGAACTACTATAAAATATAATTATTATATACGCTACGTTTGCAATCATTGCAGCATATAGACTGATTACGGTTGAATGTAATTTATGGGCTTTCAATATCGAACAGCGATCTCGTTACTCGTTAGAATTTCAAATAATAATAGGTAAATT